TTTTCTCAGGGAAGGGATCGACTTTAGCCCTGGAGCCCGTCCCAGCCTGCAGCGGGAACCGGGCCTGCCCAGGCCGGCAGCTCCGACTCTCCGGGCACCMGAAACAAAGGCTGGGGCCGCTGCCGTCCCTCCAAAGCTACCAAAGCCCCGGGCAGCGGCACCGGCTGCGGTCCGGCGGGCTCTGTGCTGCCGTGGCGGTGCCGGGGCTCGGAGCGGAGGCCCCGTCGGGCTGAGGCTGCGGGAGCTGCGGGATCACCGAGCTCCGTCCGCTCCTCCGTGCGGGGTGAGGAAACCGCCGCACCCCGTGCCCGGTCCGCAGCCCGGGCAGAGACTCGTGGGTGATTTAGGGCTGGGGGAGACCCGACGAGGCGTCCGCGGGCCCAGCCCAGAGCCGGGGGCAGGCGGGGCGAGMGGGGCGAGCCGAGGGCGAGTCGCAGGCACGGCTCGGGGCCGCTCCGGCCACCCCAGCCCAACACTGTGTCCTCTCGGCCCTGGGGGACAGCGGCCAGAGGCTCTGCCCGTGCGGGACGGGGAAGCAGCGGACACCGTCTCGGCGSCAGAACGGACCGACCGAAAGCTCGCTCGGGACCGGCTCAGCCCCGCCGCCGYTCCCCGGCCGCGCTGCCACCCTGCTCCTCAGCTGCTGCCGGGTCACCCGTGCTCCTCCGCCTTTCTGTATGGGGGTCCTGACCCCCCGTCCACCCTCACGCCCCAGAGGAGCCGCGGGTCTGGGGATGGTTTGGCAGCAAATGGCCCCGGAGGCTTCCCGGCCGCGGTCGGGACCGGGGAAAAAGCACCGGCGTTTTGGTTTTATTCCTTCTGTTTGCCCCGAAATTCCTGAGCAAGACATCGATTTCCACAGAAGGCACCGCTGAAAGCCGGCTGCGGTGTCCGACCCCGCGGGGAGAGCCCGTCCCCTGTGGGTGCAGACCCGCTCGCCACCCGGGCCAAGAGGAGCCCCGGCACGGCGATTGGGGGTCCCTCTCCCCCCGCATCGCGCCCAGAGGGCTTTCCCACCTTAAAGTTCGCCTYTGAAAAAACGTGATTTAGTTCAACGCCGGCAGAGAAATCAAAGAAGGGGTCGAAGGCTGCGTTGCCGCGAGAGGGAAAATCCGCTTTCACGGGGTCGGCAGAGCCCGGCACCGGCACCGTCCCGGCCCTGAACAACCCCAAAAACGGAGCGGCGGGAAGAGGGATGGGAAACGATCGGATGAACGGGGAGTGCGGAGGGGACACGGGGGAGAGGGAGGCAATCTCCAGTCCCGGMGCTTGGCGGTTTATTTTGCAAACAAATTTCTTTGAGCCGAAAGGCTGCGGTGCACCGGGAAATGAGATTAGTTCTACCTTAAATTCCCTCGCAATCTCTCGCCGTAATGCAGCGTTTAACTCACCGTGAGAGAAGATGTCATTTCACATAACACTGTGCTAATGGATAAGTCTTCCCCGACCTCTCAAGCACAACAAATCTCGGGCGAACCCATCGCGCACGACCTGTTAACTTCACCGCCTGCCCTCTCCGCYGCCCCACGCCGCGGTCGTGACGCCGTTTTTCGGGATTTAAAAAGACAAAAA